TATTGTAGTATATTATACTATTTTTAATCGTCTTCGGTCTTAACGTATAAGATTATTAATTTTCATAATTCTTTAAAGAATTCTAAAATATTCTTTCCCCGTATTATCCAATCAATAGAAACTTAATTTTATTCATTAATAAAATTAATTATATTTTATAATTATACGTATCAATTATATTCGAATAGGAATTTCTTAGTAGCATTAATATCTACTACAACTTTATTAAAAATAGTTCGATCTTCTAAGGTTTTTGCCAACGGGATATAAATACGCGGGAGCTTATTGGCAATAGGTTTATTAGCGATAGGCTTATCGGTAACAGGCTTGTTGGTAACGGGCTTTTTAGTAATAGGCTTGTTGGTGACGGGCTTGTCGGCGATAGACTTATCAGCGATTGGCTTATTAGTAATAGGCTTATCAACGATAAGTTTATTGGCAATAGGAAGTTCGGTAGCCGGGGTCGCCTTTAACTTATATAATCCAAAGCTGGGAGGAAATACTAGAATTTCTTTAATTAGTTTAACAGGGATAGATTCAATATTAGGGGTAGGGGTGGGAGCAGGAGCAGTCTTAAACTTCGGTAACAGGAATATAGGAGGGGGAATTAATATAATCATTATTAATTTAGCCGGTAGAAGTTCTATTATCTTTCCGGGCGGCGGGGGCTTAAATAGAGTATTCTTTAAATATTATATATAACGCTTCAACTTTATAAAGAAATTATTAAAATTGCAGAACGTATCTCGAAGTACCTCAATATATTTAAATAGTATAGTCTTTTATAGCCTCATTTTAGGATTTATTATTTACTCATTTAATTAAACTATAATTATACTATGCTAATCCTTTAATATAACTAATAAATACAATAATATTTCTAATAATCGCTTTTTCCCGGACAATAGCAGAGGGTCCGGAATCGGCAACCTAAAGCGTACTCACTTAGGTAATTATAATTAGGATTCGTCCTATTAAATAAATATCTCATCCTCTAATTCGTAGAAAGGGTCTAGGATATCGATACTTCTAATCTTATCGTTATCTAATATTGTATAAATATTATCCTCGATGGTATTCGTTATAATTTCTAAATATATACTACTTCCTAAAAGTATTATATTTAATAAATTATTAATTGATAAAGAAGATGCCTCGGGTAATAGGGAGTACAATATACTATATTACTTCTAAAATATAGTAGGATTAAATTAAGCCTCAATAATTAATATTAAGAAAAATATATTTTCGCGCTAAATAAATATATTCAATTCGATTTTGCGAAAGTCGGAGTGAATAAATAGATTTTCGAATATAAACGAAGCCTTTATACGAAGATCCTTCAATTTCAACCAATTTAATAATTTATATACGAATTTAATATCGCCACAGTTATATTTAATTATATTCCTCTATTCAAATATGTAAATTTGGATTACCCCTCGCAATATTTTCATATATACTTTTTTAAGGAAGAAGAATCGAAGGGAATTTTGATTTATAAAATTCTATTCCTAGTTTAGATAGGGTATAATAAAAGAGAATAGGTAAGAAAATAACGATTCGTTTAACCTAGTATATACTTACTTCTTAGTATATTTAACGTTGTAATTATAGAAATATCCATCCTTGTTAAGGTCGGTATAATTAATATAAAATTGAAAATCTATTTTAAAATCCCTAACCTAATTAATAACTATTTTATAGAATCGGTTCTACAATATTTCTTATTTATATATACCAAATTATTCTATTATATAAATATATAAACTAAAAAAAGTTTCGTTTATTATCGGAATATTAAGAAAGATAGTATAAGTAACGTATATAAATAATATATTCGAGTAAAATATAAAGAAAATCTTTTAATTAAAAGGATCGATTCGATTTTTTATTTTATTTAATTTATTATTTAATAGACTAATTAAAGCGGGCTTCTACTTAATATTCGTTATACAAAAATCGAGATTTACAATTTTGAGGAAGCTAGATCGTTTAAGTAAGTGAAATACGCTAGAATAGACTTCTTAGAGTTTATTATATAATAAATATATTAGTACTAAGTATAGGCGGGAATAATATTAGACATTTAAAAAGTTAAAATATACTTAATAATATACTTCTCTTTACTACTGTATAGAATTGAACTAGATACGGTAGGCTTACGCTACGTTAATTCAACCGGAGTGCGGGGTAATAATTGTCTATATCGTTTTAATATTCTTCCGCTAGACGTAATGCTAGGGGCAAAGGCACTACCTTTAGTAGACGATTGGTTAATTAATATAAATACGGGAGTCTTATATATCGTATTGGATAGTTGCGGTTATTAAACTCTAAGCGATTACGAAGCACCGGGTATTTAAATATATTACAATAATAAGTTAATTACTAAGATAGTTCGTATTAAATAGCACTATATTAAATAAATTAGTAACTTACCTCGATAGTCGCGCTCTCTTAGTATTTATATTTATTAGCTATACTACTTTTAGTACGTAATAGAGGCGGGGGGATACCTTCGTCGTTATTTATTATAATAGCGAAGATTGTAGTATTTAATAATCCAATTATTATTATTATTATTGCTAGCAAATACTTCTAGAAATAGAGGAAGTAAAAATAGGAATTTTAATTTTATAAAATTAGTAAATTTTATTACGGAAGTAGATACGGTTTGTATATTCCTCAAGTAAATACTATTTAGGTTAGTAAATAGTATTTAAAAGCACCGGTAATTAATAAATAGTACGTATAGATTCTACTACCTTAGATTGTGTTTTATTTCGTTTTATTGTATTTATTTTACCGGCTTACTGATATATAAGTGAATAGTAAATATAAATAAGTAACGTAGGTCTACTATTAGCATAGACCGATTATTTAAATTATTTTAATAATTTAATAAAATTAGGAATATCTAATTGCTTATAAATACCAATCGAAATCAATCTATATTACTATTGCATCGACCTAAAATAGGGAAATAGGGAGATCTCCTAAAGTACAAGCCTCGCCTGCCGGATAGGAAATATTACTATAGCCTAAACTTAAAGGAAATTTAAAATTTACTTAAGTAATAGAATAACAATTAAAATTAAGAAATTTAGGAAGCCGACGAATAATAATATAATTAGGATATTATAATAACTAACCCTATATCCTCTCCTCCGAATTATTATAGTAATATTAATTCTATAATTAAGGAGCCAATCGAAGAGGGTGACGACGAAATGTAAAATATTAAATAGATCGGTAAATTAAGTATATTATTATTATTAGTAAGCGATTAAAAGTAGGAGATAGAATTAAAATTTAATAATAACAACGATAGTAAATTCGGGTCTCCCCCCTTATATAATATAAAATAGAAGTATATTAATTAATTTCTAACTTTTATTAATATCGATAAACTCCGAGTCGGCGACCTCGAGGATGCTATAGTATAGGTAATATAATCTAGTATATTACTTAATGATATGTTAAGCGTTGAAGATTACGAAGATATTGTTATTGTAGTAGAGTTTGAACCTTTCAATAAAATTAATGCGCTTCGGCTGGAAGAAGAAAAAGAAGAAGGTCCTAATTTTGGACGTTTATACGATAAGGACGATATATCGATTTTTATACTATTGCGATAGAATAAGTCCGTTTAAATAATTGTGTTTGAAATAGCGTTGGCGATATTCATTAATTTAACTAGGCTTAATTAAAAGAATTAGGAGGTTCTATGGGAGGCCCTATTTCTATTACGCGATGAAGTTAGTAATATCCCTGAATTAATAAGGTTATTACTACTATAAAAATTAATACTTTTAAACCGAATACGAAATTGATTATTAATAATATATATATGGGAGGCCGATATTTTATTGAATATTATAAAACTACCGACCTTATTAGCTAACATTAAAAATAATAAGTGCCGAAAAATCGAAATATTTTATATACGAAAAGAATTAAAGAAGGTTATTAATATAATAAAAAAGATAGAAAATTATATTAAATAATATAATAAAATTGTAGAAGAGTTTTAAGAATTAATGTTGGCCGTAGATTATATAAAGGCGAGATTGGAAAAGTTGAAAGTGAATTCGATAATAAAGTTAATTCGGTTAGGTATAGAATTATAATTAGTAGATAGTAATACGGGTCTATTACCGGTTGTTACTACCCCTCTTACATTCTTCGACCTACTTATATTATTTAAAAATATCGCAGCTTCCAATCTTAGTAGGCGAATTTATTTTAGCTTAGGTTATTTCATAAACAATCCCTACGAATTCTTCGAGTCCAACGCCTAGTTATTATCGGTACGTATAATATTTAAATAATATACGTATATTATATTAGATAATAGTATAAAAGGTCCGGTTATTTTTCTATACGATTGGATTTACTACCGTTATACTAAAATATTAAACCGTTATCTATTAGTATATAATAACGTACTAGACGAGTCTATTTATATTAAAGCGTATATTAATTATATATATACTGTTAGATTTAACTATTAAATAAAGAAAATATATACCTTAGACTATAACTAACTCTATTTATATATTTAGGAAGCCTATAAATACGGAGCTATTATATTTATTAATAGTATTATACCCAAATAAAAAATTAAAGAACTTATTTTAACTAACAAATTTATATATATCCCCGAAATAAAGGTGTATGTACATGTCGTTATAAAAGTGTATACGGATTATTCGTTTAACGAAGATTATTGGGATCCCGGCCTAATAAGCAAATTGTGATTAAATGTAAAATAAAAATAATAATAAGTACTATTTCCTAAATACGACTAGTTAATACGAAGCCTATAGGATTAGAATATATATTTCTATATAGTCCGGCGAATAATAATAGGAATAAATCGAAATATTATACCTATATACTATATATACCCCCCTCGGGCTAAATTAGAATTTAATTAATTTTCTCGCGAAGTATTCGAATATAAATAGGACTAAATACGCGAAGGACGTTTCCCGGTAATATTATTCCCTTATATTAATTTTATTAATAGATTTAGCGTATTCTATAATTCCTATTATATATTAATAAATTATTATTTTACCCTAGTAGGCTTATTAATAGAGGAGTGTATAAAACCCGGCAATGTCTTTCCCCTACTATTTAGACCTTATAGTTCTAATTTCGGCGATATTACTAAAGTATTAATAATAATAATATATTTAAATAAAATGATGATTATAAATTTACCTAGAAAAATTATCGGCTTTAAAAGTAATAAAGTTGGGCTATATATATTTCCTATTTACTATACTAGTAATATACTATAGTAAGTCGAGAATTTAGGATTCAAAAGTCTACGCGGTACTAAATTCTATTAATATTATTTTACTTTTTTTAGTATTAGTAAACCTACTCAAAATACCCCTAGTAATCCGGACACATAGATCAATTTTAATATTATTAATAATAGTCGTTATTATCTACAAATTATAGAAATACAACAATTTATAGTATTATTGAAAAACGTTAGTAATATTAACCGATATAGCACCCAATAGGGAATATTCAACCCTTTTCCTACACTAATTCAATTATTACCAACACTCGATATTATAATAAGCCGCCCTCTTAATACTGCCTATTTAGAGTTTAACGGCATTATATATATAGCCCACCTACTATTCTACTAAATTCTATTAACCCTAACAGTAAGAGTATAATATATTATTTAATTACAAGCATAGCCATTCCTACTAGGCTAGTAACGTCTATAATCGCTATACAAATATCTTAAGAGTTATAAAATAAGTAATTATCGTAGATAGTTAATTATTATTCCTACGTTACTATTATATTAATTAAAAAAAGACTATCTTATTTAGAGGTTCTATATACGAATAGAAATAAAAACCGGTAAAAATCCAATAAATTTAGTAATTAAAATATTAGCTAAACTAACTAAGAGTACTACTTTATTAATAGGTATTAAAGTTTTAAAATATAACTATCGCCAATTATTAGAAATAATATATAAAACTCATTACTTATTTAACTAACTTTATATATTTACAATTACTAATACTTCTAAGTTAAGGGCTATATTAAGCGTAGGGACTCCACTTAATAGTAGTAATATACCTACGCCGGCGCTATCCTAAATAGAAAAAAACAATAAAAAATTAAGCAAAACTAATAATAGAACATTACAACCGAATATACATATTACAATACATTATAAAACATTTACAAAGGAATATAGCTTACCAATTAACTACAACACATTAACAAGCGAGGACATACATTAGTAAATTGAATATTAACTCTAGGGTTATAGTAGCTAGGGTTATAAGAACTCTACACACAAAATTTACACTACACTATTATATAATTATAGTACCTAAATATATTAAAACCGCGGCGAATATATATAGTATACAATAGAACGGCAATATCTAAATATTATTAGTATTTATTATATTCTTAAACATTTTTTATTAATAATTTTATTTAGACAAGTATTTTAAAAGGAGAATATACAAAACTAATTATTCTAACGTCGAAAAGGTATTGTTAATAAAAATAAACTTCTAAAAGATAATACGCCTTATCCTCCTTAATACCTACGAAGATACTAATCCCGAATTAATTATATAAATAACGGAACTATACTATAAATACCCTATTCTATTTAATAGAACCCTGTCGTACTTAAATTATAATAAAATATAAAATAAGAAAGAGGAATTAAAATACAATATCAATATACTTCAAACCGATCCAAACCACCTATCGCTAACCGCTATTAATAGTATTCCGGTAAAAGAATTAAACCTTATTACATATATCGCCAACGAAGGTTAGCCGTTACTAGGCTTCGCTATAATTGATTATATAACGGTTATATAGATTAAATTGTTGTAATATATTTATTAGTACGATTATAGTACGCTATCCGATTACTTACCGGTTTTTAACGAATATAAGAAGATCCAGTTCTCGTGCAAACTAACCTTTATAAATAAGTACGTACTTCGAATCCCTACCTTATTTTTAGTAATTATAATACTTCTATTAATATTTAGCGATTATACCCAATACCGACATATATTTTACTACTATTTTTCACTTTAATTATCCTTTATTCCTTTAATTAATATATTTCTATTAATCCAAATATATTATTTATTATATTAATTAATTCTATATAAATAAGAGCTACTTTAATATTAATATACCTACGCGTTGTTGGATATTATATAAGCGAAAACCTAGTATCTATATATGCTAAAATCCTATATAAAATATATCGAACGTACCCTATTATTTCCCTATATTCGTGTGCTTTGCGTATTGTATATTATAGTCCAATTCTAATTTTATAATTAAATATATCGACCGACTCCAAATACTTCAATATTTATTTAATAGCGTATATAATGTGCGATAATATATTAATAACTATATTTCGTAATTTTATTATAAATATTAGTAATTTAACGATAGTTAATATTACTACCTACTACTATTTAAGAAGTGTAGTAAACGGTATAGGGCGATTAATAATATATTAATAATTTCGAAATTGGTAGTACTTTAAATTACCGGTTTAAATTCAGCTGTAACAACTATATTAAATTTATTTACTATTATAATAACGAGAGTTAAAGTGAGTTTTATATTGGCCGTATCGAGTATATATTTGTTATAGATTATTATAGAGTTAAGTATATTTTCGCTTTCGTTATACTAATTAAGTATATTAAAGTAAAGTAACTGCTTTTAGACCTTAAGATTATAGAGGAGATCCCAAATAAGCCTATCATTATTAGTATTTCGGTAATTCGCCCTATTTATTTATATATAGTTCGTATAGAAGGAGTAAGAGTGGTTGCAGTAGACTAGGATATATATACGCTCTAATAATAATAATAGTACTTATAGCCTAGCGATATCCAATTACTATATAATTAATATTAATTATAGTATTCCTAAGCGAAGTAATATTTGTAAATATATATTAGGAATATATTAAGTATATAAGTTTACATCCGTAAGTTCCTTTATTAAGTGGTTGTACTATATTAACCTAATTACTTATATATAGCCAACGGCGTACAATAATAATATAACGTACAATAATAATACTAATATAATTATAACCTTCTTTATCTGTACTTGAATAACCGATTGCTGTAAGTCCTCAAATATTAATTAGTAAATTATATACTAACGTATATTTAATATAGGAGAAATCTTTAATCCAATATTTTCTAGAGCGGACCAGTATATACCCTATATATTTATACTAATAAGTTATTTCTATTTATTTTACCCGTTTATAGTAAAATAGATAGTCGTATACTAACCTAATATATGTTAACCCTAGGTATAGAAATAGGCAGTTCAAATATATAGCCCGTACGTACTATATAATATACTACGATTATTTATACTACTAATTTCAATTAATTAATTTCTTTATTTCTCGTCTCTTATTTCTATTATTACCTTTATTTATATTCTTACAATACATATTCACAATAATCGCTTTTCTTATATTCTTACAATACATATTCACAATAACCGCCTCTATACCTTCTTTTCTATATATAATAAACAACTAATAAAAATAGCGAATATTAACTTCAATTTAATATATATTAATTAATATAACGGCGGGCATTTACCCGTATTATATAGCGACCATCCGTATAACGGCAGGTATTTAATCCGGTATACGACCGTACGGTGTATAACTATATAGTATACGACCGTACAGTATATAAGTACGCTAATATAAGTATTTAATCTGGTATATAACTATATAATATATAGCCACGTTGTTGGATTAATACGTACTCTAAAAGTACAACCGCTATTATAGTCCGTATATAGAAGCGTAACTATAAGTATAAATTGGGTACGCGGTTTAGAAGTATAATTACTAGCGTGGTCCGTGCGCGGGATTAGGGTTGCGGATTAGGGTTGCGGGATTGGGGCTGGGGCTGGGGTTGGGGTTCGGGGTTTGGACGGAATGTAAATTACTAAATAAAATAAACTTAGGTACCGTACGTATAGCTATAAACGTAATAACCCGCCTCCTATCTATATATATAGTCCGTACGCTCGCGTTATTACAGGCCCGGCAATCCTAACACACGCTTTAACACGTTTTCCAGCGGCCTAGGTCCCAAAAATCGGAACCCGAGGATTTAACTAATTAGAAGCTCTGCTTAATCGTCTAGACCAGACAAGATCGTCTGGACCAAATAAAATTGTCTAGTCCAGTTTGCTAGACTGCTTTAAGTATTAAGGCTAGTCTAGGCCCCCCCTATCTGCGCTAGATTACCTGCCTATATTTCCGCTGCGGTATTTAAATATAAATTTAATAAAAAGAGGATAATCTCTCTCCTTTTTTTATTATATTAGATTAATCCCTATAATATTATATAAAAGTCGGTTATTAATTCCGAACTATAATATTAAAGTATAAATTATTTAATATTAATGTACATAAATACTTTCTAAAAATTTAAATATAAAATACTTATTAATATAAAGATTATTAATATATTAATAAATTATAGAATATTGAAATTTAAAAACCTAAGTATTATTATAACCCAATCTTAATTAACCTTCTTTATTTAATTAATTATTAAACAAAACAAACTTAATTTCTTAAATTAGAAATATTTAATAAAGAGAAGTATTAAATTAATAATTTACTTACTAAATTTTTTTATAAATATTAATTATAAACTATTATTCCTCCAAAACCGGCGGCTTTCTAAGCTTAGAATATTAATACTTTATTATATCTACTAAGTAGCTATAGTACTACTTTTTAAATCTTTCTTATTATATTAGACCTTCTTAAAGTAAATATAACTTTAGAGAAGAAGTTCTTTACCTTATTATCCCCATTGCTTACCTACGTACAAGGTGATGTAGGGGTCTACTTCTATAATTATATTTTACTGTCGGCCAGTCTAGCCGTTGGTGTATCTTAGAAGGTCTTCGGCAGTTGTGTGAGCTTGAGGGGAAAGGTTCGTATTGTAGGAGTCGGCACGAGTGAGAAGTTGTAGGGCTTTTAAGTCGGGGCACTCCTTCGCCGCTTTTTCCGATGCGTCAGCTGAAAGAATCTTGAGCGCTTTCGGCTTGCCGTCTTTGGTATCGCGACAGAGCCAGACGGTGCCATAGCCGCCACGACCGAGCTTGTGGAGGACGCGAAAACGTGACGGGTCAGAGAGGGGACCGAGGGTGTCGCCCAGGTGAACGGGGTGAAAGCCGCCGGGGCCATAGTCGTCAAGAGACTCAATGGGAGTAGTGAGGTGGTCGCTGTCCAAGTCAAAGTATTCTAGCTCTGATGAGTCGGACTTGGTGTCGTCGTCGACATCTTCGTGGGCTTCGTCATCCACCTTGACATGGTCTTCTTGTGGGCACTCTGGAGGACAGTCGTCGGGCATGGCGACGAAGGAGGTGTTGCCGTTTCTGGGGGGCGACGGCGCGGGAGGTGGGGCAATTGGATCGCTGGCGATAACTTGTGTTTTCTTGTCGTTTTCCATCGTGTCCTTCACCATCTTGTCGATGCTTGTGATGGTAGCTGCGATGCGTGCCTGCGATGATGCTGCGGCGACTTCTGTTGGCTTGTCAAGAAATGCAGGTGGCAGGAAGTGGTCGAGATTGGCTTCTACAAAACGAATTGGTCAAATAGCAAAGCGTCGGCAGTCGCCAATGGCGATGGTGGAGACTGGCTGCGACCTGGACGGGGCAGATTTCAGGTGAACAGTCTCAACATTCACGGGCCACTTCGTTTGTTGTTTGTGCCAAGGTTTGGTGTTCGGCGAACAAAGCATGTGCCGTGGCTTTCTGACAAGCAAACTGTTTGCACTCTGTGGCTGGAGAGAATTGAGGCTCAGGCCAGTACGTACCATCCAGTCTCAAGTCAATTCTTTGTTGAACCTTGGGAGGCAGGAACGTCCAATCCTCCAGAAGGGTCGGTAACCGGATGGTCGTGTCCGTGACTCCTTCCTGTCTATCGCCAGTCTGCGTGGTCTCATCACGTTATCCATCCCCTCGAATTTGCTACAATAAATCCACTGTAGCACGGTCATCCCCGCCATCAGATGCTTCGTGTTGGCATTCTCACGCTCGACGTCTGCCGTGATACCTGTCATGACTACTGGAATCACCTCCTACTAAACTTCCTTTCTGACGGTGGCGTTGCGACTATACGGACATATAATACACGATTGTCAATGGCCCAGCGTGATTCAATCCAGCATGTTTTTTGTCTGTTGCCAGAAATTCCGAACATGGAAAAATGTCCAGTTTTCTGGTAAGCACACCATCACAAACATTACATGCAAACTACACATCAAATCTGATATAATATCCAACACAGTCCCCTGCCAGATACCCCCAAGGAGCTTTCTAGAGCAGTGTTCTCTTGGCTGCGCATCATATATCTCTCTGCTATATTTCTGTGTCACTTTCATGAATTTACTCCTCATTCTCGGTTAAGCATGGACCGTGAAGATAGAATCGCCGTTGCGCAGGTGAAGAACCTTTGCCAGTCCCTTCACCATCACCGGCCTAAGATGCGACATTCTTCACTCTGCCAGCTCTTTGATCTGCTATTCTTCATGTCACCAGCCCGGCGTCTACGGGCCTTGATGGAGCAGGCTCAGATTCAAGGTTCTGTCCCGTCAAGGTCAGATGTGTTGCCTGAGCAACACCAAGGTTTACTACACCAACCTGTCAACCCACGCAATTCACTCCTATACTCCAGGTGAATTGACCACAGGTTCCAGGAAACAAATATTCATTCCCGCTACAGGATAAAAGCCTGCTCTCAACGCTCTCCCACTTCTTCCCAAAACACCCTTTCTCCTCCAGCCTTCGACCATCAGCAGAAGCCTCCCAGAATATCTACGACCTCAAAGCGCCTCCAAGCCTCAGATATCAACCAAGTTAGACATTTCTCGTCTTCGTCTTCAACTTCCTTCGTCTTTCTTTTCGACATTCGTCGTCTCAGTCTTCTACAATACGTCTTCCTCTGCGACCTTCTTCCTCGACCTCTTCGACATTCTTCGCTTTCCTTTTCGGCCCTCTTCGTCTTCATCTTCAACAACAACTACAAACCCCATTCAGCAACCAACACATATTCTCGACCTCAAAGTCACACATCCGCCCCAAGGCCTTACGAAAGTCAACCACACCTCGCCTAATCCACAATGCCACCCACCGGTCCGTGGACACTCAAGAACGGAAAGGTTCCAGGTTAGGACTCTTGGCGTCGTGCCCGCGAGCTGAAACCCAACAGCCACGTTAGGTTTACACCTGGTGATACGCTCGAAGGTAACGGGATTGACCTTCGCAGCATCCTGCAAAGAAAAGATGTGGGCTTCGCCGACAGTCATGAAGCCCGATCAATCTTCAGCCCGCAGGATTACGGGTTTGAACAGGATCCAAACATTATATGGATCCAGAACCCAACCAGGACCTTTAAAGACGAGCAGGGAGCACAATTCAGCCAATTACAGTCCATCATCCGGGACCGCCTTCGCAACTTGAACTACGACTACGCTGTGGTGCGGGCCGGTCCCCACTGCACTCAGAACCAGTATAACGAGCTGGGGACGGTGCTAAAATATACGAACGGCTGGACTGGCCGATAGCAAAATATAATTATAGAAGTAGATTCCTATATTACTTTGTACGTAGGCAAGCAATAGGGACAGCGAGGGGCGGAGCTTCTTTTCTAAAGTTATATTTACTTTAAGAAGGTCTAATATAATAAGGAAGACCTAAATGAGTAGTACTATAGCTACTTAGCGGACGCGACGAAGCGTTAATATCCTAAGCCCGGAGAGCCGCCGGCTTTAGAAGAATAGTAGCTTACACCTAATATTTATAAAAAGACTTAGTAAATAAATTATTAGTTTAGTATTTCTTTTTATTAAGTATTTCTAATTTAAGAAATTAAGCCGGTTTCTTTTAATAATTAGTTAAATAAAGAAGGTTAATTGGAATTTGGTTATAATAGTACTTAGGTTTTCAAATTTCTATTATAGGGATACACCGTTAGGTATAAGATATAATATGCGTTGTTGTACGAGGGAAGCGGAAAAGGTGTGTGTAGCCAAGGTAAGATATAGGGTATAGGGTAAATTTATAAATAGATCTACTATGTGACCTCTTGCCTATAGTAAACCTAGTGCTATAGTATTAGGTATAATAGATGTACTAGCTATAGTACGACTAGTATAGGGTATGTGATTTAGCCTTGTAATACTACCCCCTTACAAAAGAGTTCCCCGTTTATAGAAAGAGAATTATTAAATATATTACTTTATCCTCCAATTCTATTAAAGTAAGCCCGCCCAAAGCTACCGAGGATACGTCCAATTAGAAAATAATAAAAAATTTTAGCGCCCGTACTAAGACGGGAGGCCGTTTAGTATTCCAATTCCCGCCCAAAGGTAAAATACTAATTAAAATATCGCTAATAATATAGGGTAGTTCGTTTATTCTTTTTTCGTTTTCCTTGTATGTTCTTCTTTTCCTTGCTATAGGCTCTTGCTTTTAAATAATAGGTGGAGGTATCTAGGCCTTAACTTATTGCTTAATAAGGAGTAAATTTATTATATTAGTCGGATGGGACCCTAGGAATATAATAAGTAGAAAGGGGATATAAGGAGGAGATCCCAACTAAAAAGAGAGAGGAAGGTAGGGACTCTAAACTAAACTAAACAATATTTATCCTCGATAATAGACTAAAGAATCCCGCTTCTATACTATAGAATTACTATCGAACGCCCTCGTAATAGTAAATTTAATAACCCTTTTATAAAAGAATTAACTCCTAAACCTATTTAACTAATTTAAGATTAATAAGGAGAATTTTATCCTTCTCGTTAGTCTTTGGTAGTAGTTAATAAATTGTAACTTTACTACTCTATCTCAATTCCTAAGGACGAAAGCCATATTCAACTCCGGATTTACTCCTTACTATATTTAAGTATAGTAGAGTATTTTTTATATTAGTATAGTTTTTACTCTATTTTAAATAGTAATAAGGACGAAATTAAATTTCAAACTCCTAACTAAATTGGTTAATACGAATTTAAAAAGTTCCTAGAGAGGGATTCTTAAAAACGTAGAGGTTAACCTCGAAAACCTTAGAATACTAATTCGAGTACTAGGAGTTAAATAGTAAAGAGTTAGTTAATTCTTCTAATAAAGGAGCCTCTTATTTAATTTAATAGAGACTTTAATTCCGGACGTATCCGGATTTCCGCCTTATTAATTAATCTATAATCTACCGGTAATAGACTATAAATACTTTAAACCGCTATATTTATAAAATTAAAATAAAAACCCTTTACTTTATAATTTTAGGACTAATTATAATAAAAAAAAAGATAAAATTAAATTAGAAAAACCCCGAGTAGTACCTAGGAAAAAAGATTAGATAAAGAATAATAATCGAAAAGAGGGTCAATATAAATTTGCCCCTTACTAAGTAATATTCGGTATTTAAATACTTATACGCTATATATAAAGTTAGTACTTCAAACTATTAAAATTATTATAGAATTAATAATTATATTATTCCATTCTTTACTTAGTATCTTTAGAGCAATATAAATAATATTTTATAAAGTTAACGAAGTAGGCGAGGAGGTAATATTAGCGATTTTAATTCGCCGGTTATACTGCTCGTTTAACCCTTAGATATTAGTACCTATATAAAACCCTGAAAATCAATTATTATAGTTATTAAAGTATTTATATAAAGAAGAAAGAATTAAAAAAGAGTATTAAATTAGTTCCTTACTAAAGAAGAAAGAAAAAAGTATTACTTTTTAATACTAATATTATAAACTATAGATTCCTTACTAAGATCCCTATAGATTTAAATTAATTATTATATTTAATATTAGTAGTGCCCCTATTAATAAGATTCCTTCGACCGATATTCCTATTCATTTGGGTAAAGTATCCCTTAACGTTATTACCACCCTCCTTACAAATAACGCTACTTTTATTTAAAAAATTCTCTTAAAAAAAAAGTTCGATGGAAAAAGAGTTTTTAAATATATTGAATTATTCGAGGAAGAAATCGGTATTTATAATTTTAGAAATAACAAGTTTAAAATTAATACTTAGTTTTAGTAGTATAAGAAGGAGCCTAGGGACGTTAGTAAAGGTCTCTTTTATAATTTTAAGGCTAAGGATACTACTATTTAGAAGGAGTTTACTAAAAGATTTAAAACTATTTATAGAATAAAGGATCCCGAGTAAACGGATAGTATATTTACTACCCTAAAGAAGTTCTATATTAAACGCATTCTTTATTAGATAAATAAGATCGTCGATACTATTTTTACCTATTCGGTACTATTTATTTATTAAAAGGCGTAGAATTAGTATAGTGTTAATTATAATACTATTAAGAATTTCTATAGGAAGTTGTATATTGATATAAAATATATAATTACTACCTTCTTATAGAAATTAAAGGAAGAATTCTATACTATAGAATAGATTAAGTTTTTTTAGTCTTTAAATAAGTTTATAGTAGAATAATTTAATAATATTAATTCTAGTATTTCGTTAAATACTAATAATAATAGTAAGGAAGAGATATTTATTAAAAAGTATAAGTATAAAGTTAAGCGCGTAATTAGTTTAGACAATTCTTCCGAATCCTCTAAGGAAGATACCGGTTCTAAGGTCCCTATTAAGAAGATTATTATAAAGGTGTAGATCCTTATTAAGGCTACCCTAATTTTTAATAAAAAGACTATAGATAATTTAATTAATTGTATAGAGTAATTAATAATTGTCCGAAGTGCTACCTTTGCCCCCTAAGTTTAATAGTAAACCCCTCTCCTTTAATAGTCCGTTCTTTATTAGCCTATTTAATTTACGAATCCCTAAATTAATATTATTTAAATTAATATTTTGTATAGAAGAATTAGGAATAGATAGAGTGCGAAGAGAGACGATAGAAGAGGGTATTAGTAGTAGTACTATTAGTATAATCTATTCGGTTACTATATTTAAGAATATAAATAGAAGGAAGTCGATTATAACTATAGTATTACTAATTAAAAGCCTACTAACCGAAAAAGAAATACGAATGCTATAGTATTTATAAGCTTTAGAATAGATTATAATAATAAGGTTCTTAGGGATATATATTTTCGAATATTTAATTTGGGCCGATTGGGGGATATAATCCATTCCCTTATAACTTTGGCTATTAATTACCTTAATTATTAAAAATTTAAAAAATAGAAATTTAAAGTTTAGCAATAATATAACCCGTAGAATATACTGTTTATTCTAATTTTTAATTTACTTTAGGATCCTAAATAGATTAAATAACGTTGGGATTAAATTTAAATTAAAAATAGTTCCTCCATTATTATTATTAATTGTATTTTAATAGAAATATTTAAAGAACTATATAAAATATCCTTTCTTACCCGAAAATAAATAACTTAAATTTATACGATTATTACTAATTCTAATAAAGCTACTAAATTAAAAGGGTTCTCCGAAATAAATATAGATTAAAAAAAGATTTATACTACTTCTTAGAATATTATAATAATAACCGACGAATTAAAGAGGCTTAGGATTAATAATATAGTACTAGGTTTTATAATTACCCCTCCTTTTATTTTAATCTTTTATCTATTTACTATAGAAGTACTTAAATTAACCCCTAAATAATTTAGGATTATTTTAAATAACGAAATTCAAATATACTTATTTACCCCTATTAATAAAATACTAGAATTATAACCTAAGAAGGTTTTATTCGTACAAAAGGAGGAAGGATTAAATTAAACGTACGTAAAAAATATTTAGGTTTAAAATAATATTTTAAATATAAAGGAAATATACTCTATAGCTATTAAATTTATAAATGTTAAAGTTACTATTACTATTGAAG